ATAGGTATTTGTTTGTGAGATGACTTCGTCATTGGAGGCAAATCTCTTTCCGCCGAGCCATTTTTTCAAGTTCGGAAACAAGTCACATGGGGCTAGGTCTGGTGAATAGGCCGGATGAGGAAGCAAATCGTAGCCCAATTCATGGATTTTTGCCTGTGCATTATCCTGGTGGAAAAAGACTTTTTTCTTGGCAATGCGGTCGCTTTTTTTGCAATGCATCATCGAATCGACCCAATAAGTTGCTGTAATATTCACCATTGATTGTTTTTCCTTTTTGAAGGCAGTCAATATGGATAATACCGCGTGCATCCCAAAAAACAGTCGCCATGTCTTTATTGGCTGACAAACCCACCTTTGCCTTTTTTGGCGCCGATTCACCCCGAGAAACCCACTGTTTTGACTGCTGTTTGGTATCCGGTGTGTTGTAGTGGATCCACGTTTCGTCCACGGTTACGAAACGGCGCAAAAACTCGTTCATATTGCGTTTGTGGTCGATTGTGAGCAATCGCGGCACCCATCTTGCGGAAAGCTTTCTCATACCCAAATGATCATTCAAAATTAAAACCACTGAGCCATATAAGATGCTTATGGCTTCCACAATCTCTCTCACTTTTAAGCGCCGATCGGCTAAAACAATATCGTGGATTTTTTCAATTGTTTCCGATGTGGAGACCTCAACTGGGCGTCCAGAACGTTCGGCATCTTCCGTGCTTGTACGGCCACATCGCAATTCAGTAAACTTTTTTTTTACCATGGAAATGGATGGTGCAGAGTCGCCATAATATTTATCAAGCTTAGCCTTGGTTTGCGTAATGGATTTTTTCCGCAAAAAATAATGCTTTATGAGCAATAGAAATTCACTTTTTTCCATTTTCTTCTCAGTCAAAGAGGTAGTCTGATATTAACGGCTGTCAAAAACAAACTAAATGTCGCAGCTTGTTCAGTTTTTGACAAAAGTCAACAGACATATGACTGTTGACGGGAGCATTGTTGCCATTTCAATTAAGAGGCGGGAAATTCAAAAAGTCACGGACTTATTGACTCGCCCTTATAACGCTAATAGTTGCGATTTTTCTAGAATGTTTCTGAAATTAAGGAAAATAAACTTCAATGAGTTTAATTTAGAGATTAACTTCTCACAATGGTGTTTCCAGTTAAGATTTTCATCTAATAAAATGCGTAAAAATTTAACGCTACTGTGGCTGTTCGTCAATAATGACTTATTAACTTAGAAATATATATCATTAACTTTATTTTGCACGTTGTGTAGCCTAAGAATCTCGCTTTTTTGCTATTAAAAAATAAGCAACAACTGTTTAAAAATGTACTTACATTAGTCAAAATCAATTCACATTGTCTTAAGAATTTCAGTAAACAATTATAGAAAAGTCATTGGCATAGGCTGTATAAGAATTGTTTTCTATAATTAATATATAGGAGGAATAGCATTGGATCTAAAGTTGATCACAAATGATCTGAAGTGATCTGAATTAAAAATTTTGCAACAAATTGGTGACGTCAATTAATCTCACTGAAGTTTCTTTTCAATTGAAAAACAATTTTATTTTTCTGAGTACACAACGAAGATAATTTAACCATAACCGTTCTATGATCAGAAAATTGATTATCGACAACACAGCAAGTGCTTTCCTCGTCTGAACTAATAAAAATTTGGTCAATAATAAAGTAATGCCGTTGTACAACTATACCCTTTCCTAAATCAAGATTGAACATCAGGTAATATTTTTAACTTTTCAATATATTCTGTTAGCTGAACTTCTACAACCCGCTCAAAAACCTTGGATAAAACTGGTAGGAAAAGCATTATTTGTTAAACAATGATTAACAATATAAGTAATATATTCAATAATATGAGGACAATACATTTTAATAAGTTACATGATATTTATTGAAATCAAATAGAACTTAAATATATATATATGTATATAATTACAAAAAAATAATTTCAAAATTGTGTCAGCCTAAAATTTAAAAAGCGATATTAAAAAAGGAATTTCTTAAAAATAAAAAAAAAATATCTCGAAAATCGTTAAGAATGGTATATAGGTAAATAATGTTGTGTAGTTCTTAACAAATTATTAAGAAAAGCCAAATAATTAATTAATTTGTCACCCTAAAATTAACAAGGTTCAATTAGACAATTGATTTATTACCCATATAATATTTGTTTCTATAGGTAAAAGATTTCTTCAAAATATGAATGAGTCTCAAGCTATTACCATAGTAAGAGATATGTGCAAAAATTGAGAAAACACTCAGTATCTCAATAATGGAGAGCGCGAGATACATATAGTAAGGGGCTTTTGTCTTTGCCACAGTTACCACTTGTCCTATTACCATTGAATCGGATCACCCTATATAGTAGATTAACATGTTTTTGGTACCTGATTTTTAGCTTACTTTTATTTTTTATTCTGTAGAATATTTTTGTTTTAATTTGCTATTTTTAATACACAATTAGATGAATTTCGCCATTCTCTGATGCTTCTAATTTTGGCTAGATCTAAAAGTTCTTGCATATTAAGCTTATAACTATTAAGTGTTTAATTTAAATACATTATTGGAAAAGTATTGTTTCTTTTCATATCATAGTAGCATAAAACATAAACCGCCTTGAAATTTCGAATTATTATACAACGCAATTGATTAAATTACGAATAAACATAAATCGTCAAAAGTTAGAAGCAACATTAAATTTGTTAAACTTTGAATACAAAATGATACAAGGTTAAATCACCAAAATTTTGAAGCATCATTTTTTATTAATCCTAAAATTAAAAATTTGGTGGATGAACTTTGAAGTTACACCAAAATTTAGAAAGTAATTTTTTTGAGTGGACTAAGACATTCTGGTTTTATTTGAAGTTTTTGTTGCATTTATTTAACTTTCATTATTCAGAAATTAATCGAAATTAATTTTATTCGAATATGTTTTAGGTTAATAGTAACAAACTATTAATAATTCTCTTTTTTTTTATTTGATACACTAGTGGAAAAAATTATGGGATCAAAAAAAAATTTCGATTTTTTGCGATTTTTCGAGTGGCTGTATCTTTGGTAAAAATAGTGATATGTAAATGAAAAAAAATCAATTTGAAGCTTGAAGTATCTAGTTTATGGATCTTGCGATAAAAATTTTTTCCAATCAACAATTAGCACAAAATCCTAATGAATATCATGGATAGAAAAACGCGATCCTTCAATTTCTTCAAAAATTCACTCGCATGAAACAATGAAACAGTTTGATGGATCAGGTTGAAATTTTGTAGGGCTTTCGAGGAAACAATGGCTTGTAAGATGCCCACTCAACATTGTTCATTTTCCCAATATTCTCAATGTGGCACGTGATTTTCTAACAAACCTCAAAAAGACCTGTTTTCAGGAATTCTTCAAAGTCATGCAAGGGATGAAAAAAAAAAAAAATTCTCCTGAAAGAACATGCCAGAACCTTGTAGAGAATGAATTGAAGTTTCCGAAACCCCCCTTCCATTTTCTGAGTGGCCATTGGTTCCTGAGATATTGGACAGAAGAGGAAATGACGCATTTTCGTTCATTTTCTGATAACTCAGCAAGGAAGGGTCATCTCGAGGCCATCAAAAAAAGGAATGAAGCTAACTGAACCACCTATCCAATGCATATAGTGGTTATGTCAAGAATATTTTTTCACACTAAAAATAAAAAAAAAATTTCAAGAATTTTCTATATTCATCAGGATTTTGTGCTAATTGTTGGTTGGAAATTTTTTTCATCACAAGATCCATAAACTACACACTTCAAGCTTCAAATTGCTTTTTTTGTCATTCACGTATGACCATCTTTACCAAAGATACAGCCACTCGAAAAATCGCAAAAATCGAAATTTTTTTGATCCCTTAATTTTTTCCATTAGTTATTTTGATAGTAATTATTTTTCTACCTTCAATTATAATTCAGGATAATATGTTTAATAAATATATATTAAAAGTTGTTACAATCACAACCATTTAAAACTTTTTGTTAGTCGGTTAACAGGCTAAACTGATTTCGATTAATTTCTGGAAATTTTACCAGAAAACAAAACAAACATTTTGTATATAGTATTAAATTTTGTAGATTATCGCTGTTTATATATTCTGAGTTCTGTACTGCTTGTTTTAGCTCAGAAAGCATGTTATTTCAGTTTAGTTAGTCGTCATCTTCATCTTCATAACCACAGGACAAAACCTGGTTTATCAAATCTTCTGATATACCTACCAGTCTTCTGTTTTCTCTTCATTATCTCATGGGCTCATTTTTCTTATAAGGTTAATGTTTTCGTAAAAGGTAACATTATAGAAATTTTACTACAAATGTACTGCAATATTTGTACTTGAAATCACTAAACACGAGGAGGTGCTTACAGCTTTATCGAAGGAATTATAGCAATAAATAAGTCTCTAATAGAATATAAATTAAAATATTTATGTCTCTAGCAAACGCACTTGCGTACAGGAAAATAATTTAAAAAAACGCTGTTGCTAAAGTGTACACAAATCAAAAAATTATATACACGCGAAATGTCATATTACTGTGGTGGGAGGTATTTGTGTGAATATTTTATAAACCTTAGAAGCAAATTTCACATACATGAACAAATAATGATAATAATGCCGTGACAACAAGAAAACGAAGCAACGACTTCTTGTAGGGTGGCGGCTTCGCCGCCACCAGAAAATTTTAACCCATACCTAGCTACGCCGACCGGCATAAACACCAACGGCCTAGACACAGCTCACCTACACTGTCAAGACGTTTCGCGTGTATATAACTTTTTGAATTGCGTACAAGTTAGCGTGTGCCTAGACACTGTTAAAAAAATACTCCAATATAAAGAATAAACTAAATCAAATATTGTACGAAATAGTAAAACTTCTATAACGTTATCATTAACCAACCATTGGTTTGATGGTTACATGTCGGTGTCTCATTCGAGAACGTACATTCTCCTTTATTTTCTCCAGTGGTGGTTTCCAATTGAGCCCAGATTTCAGACCAAGAGCATCTTCGAACACGTCCTCGTGTGGTAGACTATCCCCTATACCGTCGGTGGTAGGTGTCGAACCAGACTGGCCTCCGCACAATCAGTTTAACAGCCAAAACTATAGTCCATCGGATATAGTTTCAAGCGGTAACTATTCTCCTGACCAGCTGGCTGGCAACCTGCAGCAAGGGATGAAGCTAGAACCAGATACATATTTGGGGTGAGCGTCTGTCGATATTGTCGGATGTACGGGGTGTTTGTAAAAATATTGCGGGTTTTTATATACAGAACCATGTTTAGTTCAAAGTAAATTGAAATATATATAAAAAAAAATTAAGTCCATCATAAAACGTATTTCACTTAATACGAATTAGTATTTTTTATGTATTCTAAATATTTTCTAACCTACAATCAAAAAAACGTCAATCGAAAAATAAAAAATACCTGACATCCTGATTTTTTAAACTCAATTTTGATTTGTGGCTACTTCACCACCCCAGCATAAATAATAAATTTTGATGATGTAAATTTCTATATCAAGTGTCGCCAGTCAACGTGGAGCAGTACATTTTTATATTAAATTTGGAATTAACCTTGGGTAAGACTCTTTACAATTATGGTCATTTGAATTGTTGATTTTGTTATTCAAAGAATATTGTGATGCTGTATATAAGGTGGATTAGAGAATTAGAATTGCATAGTTTGCATATGAATAGAGAAATGTATTTTGAATAAATTCTAGAAATTAGATAAGTCAAAATTTAGTGTGAGAGTGGACATAGTGTACGAAAGAGTAAATGTAGACGATATAATATATCGCTTATAATAAGTAAAATAAAGTAGAAAACAGAGTATTTATAGTTTGATTATTTATAGAGCTATGATTTTGTACAATTGAAGTGTAATGTAGAGAAGAAATTAAAGTTAAAGTATAAAGGAGAATAGTTAATGGATTAAAATGAAGGAGAATTTATGATTTGTATAATAATAAATAAATTTGGGTAATGAAATATTGCGCACCAATGACATGAGTCATAATGATTAATGAATAATATAGGTATAAAGTGAATTAATGCGGTTTAATAATAAATAATGCGGTATAAAGAGATTATGATGGAAAATGAAACTTATAATATAATGTAAAATGAGAAAGTGTGGAAGTGGGAAGAAGAATTGAAGAAGAAACTGAAAAGGATATTTTAAAATTTAAAAGAAATATAAATGAAACTAATATGCAAAAAATAGTAACATAAAAATATAAATTAAGAAAAATAATAAATTGAAGTATATACAGGGTATTCCAATAAAAACTCCCAGGCCAAATATTTTGGTAAAAAATAGATATATTTTAATTCTGTAAAAGCCAGTTCACAGAGCACTAAGAGAGCTTCAGTTTTAGATATAAATTGATTTCAAATAGGCCAATATGTAGATGGCGCTGCGCTCAATAATTTGTTTTCGATAGGAGAATCTTTCTTGTGTAGCGGATCTTATAAAAAATGAATTTTTATACAGATTTTGTTACATGAACTAATGCGATAAATCTAGCCATTTTTGATATAAAGAGTGGGCCATTTAAAACAGTTTCATCCTGTTTTTTGGCATTAATCATTGGATTTTAAAAAAATGCTAAAACATGTCGATTTTTATTCCAAATTAAACACATTTTTACAATACAGACATCTGTCATATTTCAACCCCCTCCCTTGCACTTCTCTATCACCTTACTTTTAAATATTTAAATAGGTAATATAAACGAATTAAATTACGGGTTTTGAGCTTACATTAAATTGTAATTAGATGAAACAAAATGGATTCTATGTATTTTGAGGTGATCTTTTCGAAAAAATGCAAAAAAAATGTAGCAGTTTTTCGAAAGTGCTGAAATTTTGGATTTTGTCAATTTTTCAGTTTTGCGCAGGCGCATGTCGGAAATAAATCAATATTTTTGAAAGCTTAGGAAAAATGCTAATTTTTATGTCTCTTGAGAAATTTTGATCCGATGCACCGTTCTCGCGGTATGGACGATTGAAATTTGTTTAGTATTTTGAGGCGACGAAGGTCGAAAAATTGATTTTGTTAAATGTTCAAACACTAAATTCTTTATAATATTGTTAAAAATTAAGATATTTGAAAAAACAAAAATTCGTTTTGAACTTAAGGGATGTGACTAGTGATTCCCAAAAGGGGGCAAGAGAAATCCCAAAATTGGGCATATGGCGGAAGGGCAAAATGCACCGCGATCCTATAACGGCTAAACTATTTGAATTTTTTTAATGTCACTTACAAAGCTTACTCTTAAATGTGAAATCTTATGTGTGTGTGAATTTCACCGACATCGGACCATAATTGGCTAAGATATCAAACAATTAAATATTTTTTTTTTCCATAAAAAAAAAAACTTTTTTTCGAAATTTGAAGTGGCACAAAAATGCCAAAAATGCACCCAATGGCTCAAAACTTTTTTTTTAGTACTCTATTGTGTCTAGAATACGATTACATTACGAAAAATTCTGAAAATATATTTTATCTAATTTTTTGACCACTGTTCATTGAGTGACGACCAAAAAACACGGTTTTTGAGAAAAGTTGCCTAAAATTGACAATTTTTAGTTTTTTTGTCTGAAAATTAAACAAACCCAAATTTCATGTCTTCTAAATGTGTATACAAAGTTTAAAGTGTGTATGTTTCTTCTAAGTTGTAGAATTCTCCCGACAAAAGTCCCATTACACGCGCTCCGCGGGATCCAAAACTCGTGTATACACTACATTACTGTAATTTGATTTTTTTGCGTTTTCCAGTTTTAAATTTCTTACATATCTAAACTTATTAGGCTTAAAATTTATTAAATTATATTTTACTGACTTGTTAAAAGACGTTTCTTGAGTTTTGTGCAAAATATAGAATTACCAGATATTAGCGAACAAAAAGCAAGCTTATCATCAAATTGGAACTTACACTCAGGCTTAGGATTAATTTCCTAACATTTTTAAAGTATACCTATTTGTGTATTTTTTTTGTGCTCTTTTCGATGGCGAAGTTAGTTTTTTCAAATATATTTTTTTTGTTAGATGTTTTCGAAAAACCCGGAAAAAATTATATGGGAAAAAATTAGAAAAAAACTACGCCTCTGGTTTCCTGCGAATTCCCGAAAAATTATGTCAGATTTCGCCGCGGAACTTATTTTATTTGAGAGCCAACAAAAAAATACGCAACTTCTCTCATGGGCACATATGTCTAACATTTATAATTTCGCCACAAATTCATCGCAAATTTCATGTCCATGGTTCTGATCAAAAAAACGAAAAAACGACTTTTTGGTAAAAGCACTTCTGGAGGCGAGAAATTCGCCATTAAAACTACCTGTGCAATGAATTTCCGAACTATTTTTGCCTCCTCTTTCGAATGGTGCATTTATTTTCACTATCGGAATGATACTTGCCCAGATAATTAGCATTTTTACAATGGAAAATTCTGGAAAACTCGGTTTTCCCTAATTTAAAAAAAATTGAAAAACTGCTACATCTTTTTTTCTTTTTTTCGGAAAGATCACATCAAAATACACAAGGTCCTTTTTGTTTCATCCAATTACAAATTAATGTAAGCTCGAAGGGGCTTTTTTTCGTTATTTAATTAGACTATGTACCATGTATGGCACATCATTGAAATTGTAATTTAATGGGGGATTCAGAAATGTCTGTATATTGCGTTACTTAAATTTTTCCGCCCTCTAGCGGGATAAAAACTATTACGTATTATAATGTGTGACTCTACCATGTGTAGTACATTATTAAAAAGGTAATTTTATAAGCAATTCAGAAATATGACTGTTTATTGCGATACTTTTAAATGTACTGCCCTCTATCGGGATAAAAAACTGTACATATTATAAAGTTGTGATACCTTATTTTAAAGCAAATTTAATTACTAATTTAATGCACCATATAACATTAATATAAATATCCTCCATATTGCATTTGCAATAGTTTGAAAATTAGTCATGCATTATTTTAAACATTATTTTGTTGCAAGTGCAATATAGAAAAATTTATATTAATGTTATGTGGTGCATTGAATAAGTAATTAAATTAGCTTTCAAATGAAATATCACACTTTATAATATGTTACAGGTTTTTTTTAATCCCGACAGAGGATGCTGAAATTAAAAGTATCGCAATAGACAGCCACATTTCTGACTTTTCCTCAAAATTACATTTTTAATGATGTGCTGTACATGGTACATTTCTTATTTAAAATTAAGGGGTTGGAAAAGTGGAAGGGAGGGGGTTGACACATGACAGATGTCTGTATTGTGAAAATGTGTTTAATTTGGAATAAAGATCGACCTGTTTTAGCATTTTCTAAAAATCCAATGATTAATGCCGAAAAACAGGATAAAACTGTTTTGAGTGGCCCATTCTGTATATCAAAAGTGGTTAGATTTATCTAATTGGTTTTTGTGCTAAAAAATGTAGTTTTTACCAGATGCGCTATATAAGAAAGATATTTCATCGAAAAAAAAAAAAATATTGAGCGTAGCGCCATCTACATATTGATCTATTTGAAATTAAATTATATCTAAAATTGAAGCTCTTATAGTGGCTTTTACAGAATTAAAATATCCCTATTACTTACCAAAATATCCGGCCTGGGAGTTTTTATTGGTACACTCTGTACAAGGGGGGATATTCGGAATATAAGATTAATATGAGTATGAGTGTAGATAAATGATAAAGTATTAGTAGAACTTAAGAGAATCTTTTATAGTATTTGTTGAGTGAATAGAAAAATAAGTAGACATGATCAACAATTAAAGGGAAGAAAATTTGAATAATCAAGAAAGTTTAGATGTTTTTTGAAAATTTAAATTTAGAAATTAAATTCATTGTTCACAGTAAAGACATTTTTTTATTTATAGTTTTGTACTTTCTCTATCTATTGTAGAAATATATACAATATCCAGTTCGAATTTTCGTATGGGCTATTGACATTAGCCATTCTCTTTTAACATATTTTTAATAAAAGGCTTATGGTGTGTGAGAATCTTAATCTCGGGGGCATGGCCACCTCCCTGGACCAACCCTTGCCACGAATGACATTTCAAAGTAAATTTTAGATCCGCGATATCTTGTAAAAGTTGGTGTTCACCAGGATTAAGTCGCACTTAATCTTAAATAAAATGAGTTTATTCAATTGTAAATTTAAAATGAATTAAATGT